TATATCATTGCCAGGTGACCGACCCAAAAGCCTCAGGCCCAGTTACCCTCGCTTCCCCAGCACCCATCCCTCGTCTCCAAGCCTCACAGCCAGCCATTCACTACCAAACGACTCTCATAATGAGCGTCTTTTTCAAAAGTGCATTCACTTTCTTCTTTGCCTTGTCCCTCCGCCCTTTGGGAGTCGCTGCCCAAGCTCAAGCATCCATCGGAGGAAGCCTACCGGCGCTTTTGGTGGTCCGGTACGGGCCGAGATGCTCGTTTACTGGGCTACTCGAGTGCCTGCAAGCTACAATTGAGGGACTGGTATTCCGAGTCTTCTATGAGAAACATTGCGATGGAGATGGTGTGGCGGGTGGGTTCGTGTTAGTTGCCCCCTTTGCCCTCGTCGTCGAGCAAACCCGTCACGGCTTCGGCCACGATCTCGGACGAATGCTTTTCTTGAGTCGAGAAGACTTGAAGAGAGAGGCCAAAGTAGCGCAATCGATTCCCGCTTCATCGCAAACGCTGACGACACCTGTTGCTTGCCACGACCAGCTATACACATACGATAGATCCCACAAAGAAAGTAGGCAGACCGCAAAAGTTCAATCTTTGGTAGAGTAAGTTTAGCCCAGCCATTGCCACTAGCAGTGTATCCACAAATTACTCGTCGAACATGAGCCGAGCTAGCTCATCGTTCACTATCGCGATGTGACCTCACCCCCGCCATGCAACAAACTTGCATTGGGGCCATTTTCCCTTCTTTCCCACAAGATTCGCCCGAGACATTACTGCAGATTCACAAGAAACCCCACCACGGCTCATAATCGTGGCGAAAAGTAAAATAAAGATTAGGCAATCGCCAAAAAACCCCCCCTTGCTAGCGTTGATCGGATTCCATTGCGAGGCCCCGGGTGGGGGGCAGCTTGGAACCATGGGAGCAATGGGAGCTTTCTTCAGTGAAAACCATACAAGCACACCAATGGGATGGCGTTGATATCTTCGATACCCTGGAACCAAGTGGTCTCAGGGTCGCATCGCACCACGTACCGAGCATCTCGAGTCGGACTGGTGCGAGAGGGGGGACTGCATGTCTAGTCTAAGTCTGCCGGTCCAGATCGCCTAGTTGTCTTGGCGTGTATCCTTACCTGCATGATGGTATTTACACAGATCGCGCTCGTCTTTTCCCTTTTTTTTTTTTCTTTTCTTTTTTTTTTTCTTTGGGGTGGTTTAAAAGCTTCTTGCGCTGCTGTTCTTTTTCCTTTGGTTATTAGTTGACTTGGTCACGGCGGCTTCCTTACCTGAGGTTTCCCGACTTTTTGTAGCATTGAAGGGGGACTAGTTTCCACAGAAGGCAGCAAACATGGCGAAAGCGGACCTTGTCGAGATGCAGCAGCAAAAGGGCGGCTACGACGCCGTCAACACGACGAGCTCTCCGGGCAACACAGACGACGGCGCCAAGAACAACCACCACCACGAGAGCGGCGCCTACCCATACGCGACCGATGGCGGCACGGGCGACTCGACGCTCAGGGTAAGTCACAAGCGCAGTCTTCCTTACCGATATCACGAACGGCAACTGACACGGGTACTTGCTGGTAGCGTCTCTTCTCCTTTTGGCAGCTCTTGGCCTTTGCCCTGATCTTCATGTCCTCGTGGGAGGTCATGGCGATGGACATGGGAGCGACATTCTACAACGGCGGACCGCAGACGCTGGCGTGGGGTATTGTTCTCGTCGTCGTCGGCGCCATGGCGCAGGCGCTCTCCATGGCTGAGCTCGCGACCATCCAGCCCATTGCGGGAGCGCAGTACCACTGGACGCATTTCCTTGCGCCGGAGAAGCACCGGCGGTTCATCACGGTATGTCTCTCTCTCTCACACCACACGTCTCCCGGGATCCGGACTGACATCGGCTACCCTCGCAGTGGATGCAGGGCTGGGTAACCTGGTTCGCCTGGGTTTCCGCCCTCGCGGGCTCCGCCGCCTCGGAAGCAAACATCATGATCGGCCTCGTCAGCACAAACTACCCCTCGTACACCTTCCAACCCTGGCACATCACCATGGTCATCATCGCCCAGCTCGTCGCCTGCGCCCTCATCAACATGTACGCCTTCCGCACCATCCCCTGGATGGAGCTCCTGGCGGGCGTCCTGCACGTCGTCCTCTGGCTCGTCTTCGTCGTCGTGCTGTTGACGCTCGCGCCCCGCGCCTCGGCTGAATTTGTCTTCTTCGAGCGCACTGTTTCCTCCGGGTGGACGAATGGCTTTGTGAGCTGGAATATCGGCATGTTGGTCCCCGCGTGGGGGTTCATTGGGTTCGATGGTGTCGTGCACATGGCGGAGGAGACGAAGAAGGCGAAGCAGGCCGTTCCGCGCGCGATGCTGTGGACGATTATACTGAACGGCGTGCTCTCGTACGGGATCATCCTCGCCATCCTGTTTGGCATGGGCGGCGACCCGGCCACGACGGAGGCGATTCTGAGCTCCGACTACCCCATCATCCCCTTACTCTTCAACGCCGCGGGTCCCGCTGCTGGCACAGCCATGGTCGTCGGCCTCCTCGTCATCACTTTTTGCGTCGTCGCCGCCTCGCTGGCGTCCGTGTCGCGCATAACATGGGCCTGGGCCCGCGACGGCGGCCTGCCGCGGTACTTTGCCAAGATCCACCCGACGCACCGCGTGCCCATCCGCTCCGTCTGGCTGCCGTGCGTCATCGTCACCTGCCTGTCGCTCTTCACGGTGGGCAACAACGCGACGGCGACGGTGTTTTCGGCGTTTACTGCGCTGTCGTCGCTGGGGTTGTATGGCTCGTACATCATCGCCATTTCCTGCATGCTCCACGCCAGGCTGACGGGGCGGATCGGACACGGGGCCGGGTATCAGGTGCAGTACGGCGGGTGGTCGTTGCCGAGGGGTTGGGGAACGCCGATTAATGTGTATGCGCTGCTGTGGTCGATGTATCTGAGCGTGTGGTTGCCGTTCCCGCAGACGATTCCGGTGACGGGGACGGAGATGAACTATGCGGGGCCGATTTATGTTGTTGTTGTGGTTGGTGCGGTGAGTTTGTGGTTTACGTGGGGGAAGAAGCATTGGCCTGGGTTGAACAAGAGTGCCATTGATAATGTGGTGGCATATAATTGAGAGTGAGTTGAGATGGGAAAGTCTGGTTCAAACCAGACTTTGTAGATGATGAGTTATTAGACTACTATAGAGCCTCGTGGAGTTGTGCAATTCGACTTAAGTCTGCGATGGAATTCCTGGCATGAAGAGTAGAAATGAGAGTGATGGATTGCTTGATCTGATGGATCTCAGTGCGATTAGCTTAAGAGACGTGGCAACTAGCGACTCTTCTCGTTGACCGTGTCCTCAATAGACATGGCCAACCTGTTCTCATCTCAGAAAGCCGGTGCCTGGGAATTACACGCGGCCGCGATGACTGGCCGCATCAGGCACCGACGGCCTGGGTAAGAGCATTGCGTACGTGGGCCACGAATGCCACGCTGGCATGAGGTGAGATGTGGCATCTCCCATCGACAACGCGTCCGCATCATACACCAGGACCCGGGTATCTGGCATTTGATCTCGCGATGCTGATGCAACAGACAAGTCTCGGTGAAAGGTGAAGATGGAGCATCCATGAGTGGGTTGTGTCCCAAAGCGGCAAGATGCGGAGAGAAGCGGCAAGGTGGAACAAGGCCCCGATCGTCGGGCGGGACCGAAGGGCGCTAGCAGACGTCACATGGCGCTCAGATACGGGGGATGCCTGGATGCAAAACACGGTGCCTGTATCAGTCGTGGATGTTGTAGGTATTTGGGTGTACCGGTAGGCTGTACGCAGTAGACGGTAGTCAAGGACTCGTTGTATCTAGAAGCGTTGGATGGAGGGAACATGTTTGCTCGGTGAGTCAAGCCAGGAACCAGACTTTGCTGCGAATGAACACATGTCCATCTATGCCAAACAGGGGCGTTGGAAACACGGTGACCAGAAGGTCTCGTGAGTATTTAGAGGGCCGTCTCTAACCTCGGTGAGCCTTGTTGAACAGTTCGAAAGACCTCTTTAAGTTGGCTGCCTTGGGACGATGAGATGAGAGCGGTGTCACGAATCAGCAGGTTCCCTGTCTTCATCCCTTCCAATTGTCCGGTTTCAGCTCCCTTCCTCTCCGCAGCTTACCTCATCCGTTGACCGCTCACCGTTATCGGCTTATCGCCTGGCCGAGCTGACACCGACGACAACCTTATCGCACCTTATCCAGCCCCTCGATGACGTCCACCGAGGTACCTCATCGCATTGCATCTCGCTGAAAGCACCAAAGCCAAGATCTCACCGGCCGACCCCCGCCTTGACTTACCTTAGGTATTCTACCTTGGTCAAGTTACTTTGGGTATGTAAGGTACCTTTCCCACCTAATGCTATGCGGCAGGTACATTCCCGTTTGACCCTTGGATCCAACGGCAAGTGCCCGTGATGCCCGCTGCACCCGCCTGTTTTGTCCTCGTGCTCAGGGACCCCACCTTGCCTTGCCCCCCCAGCGAGCACCGAGCGCCGGTTGCTGCTTCCGCGTGCTGTCTGCTGTGTAAGCTGCCGTGTACCTTGCCTTACACACCCGTCCGCATCCGCAATCCTGCATCTTCCATCTGGTTGCTCCTCCACAGCTTTTGATTCAACCCTTTTCTTTCTTTCTTTCTTCCATTCTGTCTGTCACTCCGTGTCTCGTCCCGCGGCTGGCTGACCCTCATAGTCGAGACCCTACCGATACTCACACATTACCTATCAAGCTAGACGGACCTTGCAACCTCAAACGCTACCCCTCGCTGCTCATCCCATACCGTCAGCCCCCCCGCCTGACGTCGGCTTGTGCTCCCTGCGACAGCTGCGCGCGCTGACCGAGCCGTGTAAAGCTGCCTGTGCCGACAACGCTCTTCCATCTCTTCTTTAGTTCCGAGCAAACCTTCTTCTTCCCTCTTACACCTCTACCTCCTCTCCACCTTGACGACCTTATCGAGCCCTCATATCGCAACCATGTTTGACATATTCGCCCACCTCTTATCGTGAGTTCCCCTCTCCTCCAGGCATGCGCAATGGGTGCCAGCATACCTCCATGACACTTGCGATACCCTCGGCGCGGCTTGAACTCCACAAGCCTCAACCTTCAGTCCTGCTGGGACACTTTGAACCGCTCGACTTACATGGAATTCCACCTCATAGATCCATCGCTTCCTTCCTCTTCCCCCTCTTCGCCTCTTACAAGGCCCTCAAGACCTCCGACCCGGCACAACTGACACCATGGCTCATGTACTGGGTCGTCCTTGCCTGCGTACTCCTCGTGGAGTCTTGGACCGAATGGATCCTCGTCTGGTACGTTCTGACTCGCAGACTGCAACCAACATCCAGTCTCCCTCTTCCGACCAACCACTAACACCAGCCACAGGATCCCCTTCTACGCCTATATCCGCCTCCTGTTCCTCCTCTATCTCGTCCTTCCCCAAACCCAAGGCGCCCGCATCATCTACCAAACCCACGTCCACCCTTTCCTGCAAGACAACGAGGCCCAAATCGAAGAGTTCATCTCCGAGGCCCACGACAAATTGAAAGCCGCCGGCATCGCCTACCTCAAACGCGCAATCGAGCTCATCAAGACAAACGTCCTCGGCCTGCCCCCAGGCGACCCCGAACCCGCGCCCCAGCCCTCCGCTGCAGCCGCTCCTGCCGGCCACCCACCGCAGTCCTACACGCAGTCCCTCCTCGCCCGGTTTAGCGTCCCCGCCGCGCGCTGGGCTCCCGCTGCCGGAACTGGCCACACAGGCGCTGACTTTTACAACCTCCTCGCCGGCGCCTACTCCGCCGCTACCGGTGGGGGACAGCACCAGGACCTGTCCAAGTCCGGCTCCATTATCCCGCCGAACCTCCAGGGTGGCGAGAGGACGAGCTTCATCGCCGCCCAGCGTGAGCGTCTCGCCTTCCTCCTCAAGGCACTCGAGCGTGAGGAGGCAGCGACGTCATCGTCGGCGCATCCCGAAACTTTTAGCCGCTCCCTGGGGAGCATGCAGCTCGACGGCAGCGAGGAGGAGGAAGTGACGCAGAGACCGCCGAGCGCGCACAGCGGACTCAGCAAATCGCGGAGTGAGACCGATTTCGAAAAGATTGACGCTGAGAGCGGGGCCGAGGACCTCGGTGGCGATGACGAGGACGGATCCGTTAGGCGGAGGCAGACGAGCGGGGGATCGTCGTGGATGCCGTGGGGATGGGGCGCTACACCGACGGCTGAGAATCCCGAGGGTGGATCTAGCTCGGGCGTGCACAAGTGATTGCCGCCCTTCGGATATGACAACGGCGTTTGTCAATGGGAAATGGAGTTCTTTGCGCGGCGGTTTATGGTAACTTTTGCATGATTTAGATGTTCGGCTTGGGCGAGGGATATGGAGTCATGGTCGATTTATGATACACCCAAGAGTGGATGTCATTCCGGGACCAGCAAAAGCCTGCGCTCCCGCACGATTCCCAACCAAAGGGGGGCTGAATAGACCTGGGAGTCGCTTTCAACAGCCGACCACCGTTCCTGAGAGAGTGGCCTCTGTAGTGATTGTGTCCTAATGTTTTGATTGACCGCTATGCAAAGGTCTATGCATCTACAGTCCTTACCCCTATCCCGAGGAGGGCCATGATATACGTCTAATATTACAGTTGAGATCCCTACTCTTATGACCCATCTTACACATATCCCACCCATCTAGTTTTATTTATACAAGTTTTTTTTATCCATAAGGTCTTTGCGGGCTCGCACGATGCCCGTCACGTTCCCCAACAGCGCGGAACTGACCTCTTTTCAGGTTTATCGTCCTTGGGCGCCAGGCACTTTTAGTTGGTCTTCTTGTAAGGGTACGCCAACGGCACGTCCTTACGCGTCCAGACGAGCTTCTTGCGCTTGGTGGTGACGTGCTCGGCCCAGACCTCGTCGGCGTACTCTCTGCGGAACTGGCGGATGAAGACGGGGTCCCAGAGGTCCGAGGCGACGCCGAGGTCTTTGCAGCAGCGCATGAGGGCGTTTGATTTGCAGCCTTCGACGGCGGAGGGGAGGTTTTCGACGGAGAAGTAGCCGTTTTCGCCCTGGGCTTGGGAGATGAAGCTGTGTGGGTTTGCGGGTTAGCTTTGCTTTGCTTGATGCGATTTCAGGATAGTCCGAGTGGGTTGGGGGGGCAAAAGTCCAAGGACATGGAAAAACACGTACCGTCCTTCCGCGATGAGAGCGTATTCTCTGGTGACGACCTTCTCTCCGACGACGACATCGCCCTTGGGGACGAGGCCCCACCCGCCTGGACCGAAGGCCTGGTTGAGGATGCGGCGGTACTTGATCTCGGGGAGGTAGATTATGCCGTCGGGTTTGACCTCGACGTCGGAGGGGTTGACGGGTTGGAGGAGGATGTCGACTACTTCCTTCGGGAAGCGAGCTGTGCCTAGGCCGTGGTAGGATGTTGACCAGTCTATTGGCTGCTGCTGTTGCTGCTGTGTTTGTGGCGTTTGCTGCTGCGGCTCTGGGGAGGGTTGGGATTGAGGAGTGGGAGGGACGTATGCTGGTGCTGTTGGGAACGTTGTCGTCGCGGGCGCGGATGTGGGTTTAGGTGCTGCTGCTGCTGCTGCTGCTGCTGCTGAGGAGGAAGAGGATGGTTTCGAGGCCTTCGCGGCTGGGGAGGGTGTCTTTTTGGCGTAGCTTGAGGTTGTTGTGCTCTTTGCGGGGGACGGGGCGGCTGCGGTCGCGGAGGCGGCTTTGTAGCGCGAGGTTGTGGCTATGCGCGCGACGGAGGTGAAGGTTGTTGCTGTTGCTGTTCGCGATGCGCGGAGGAGGGGGCGCATGGTGAAGGAGGCCATTTTGGTCTGTCTGGTATGCGACTTTCCGGCTGAGGAGTGAGTGGCGTGGGAATGGGTAGAGTGCGTGTCCGGGTGTAGGGTTGAAGAGCTGTGGGACACGCGCGCGCGCGTGGGGGAAAGGGACAGGCGGGAGAGAGAGCGAGAGTGAGGTGGTTGAGGGTTGCGCGGTGTCGATGATGCTCATAGACTCCCGGGGCGGCGTGTAGGATGGAGGAGGATTAATGAAATTTGGTCGGCGCGGGTGAATGCGGCGCCCGGGAGGCGGGAGGAGCTTGGGCCACGTTTTTGGAGCTAGAACACTGTGCGAGCGACTTTTTTTTTTTGGCTTCATCCCGTCGTTGTTGGCGTCAGTCCACTTTGGGACAGGCAGTGAGTGAGTGAGTGAGATGGTCAACGGGAATGAGATGAGTTGCGATTCGTTTCGTGATGATTTTTAATCTACAGTTGTTGGTACAAGTGGTGTACAAGCTTCAGATAGCGGACCAAAGACTCATTCTCGGAGTTGAATCACGCATCCTTTGCGTCCGTCCGGCGATCGTTGCCCTGCTGCTTCCAACAGCTCTTGAAATGCTCCATCTAAGATAGTATCAACCATTGTCAGCTTTAGTTCATCATGTACCTCATTGCAGCGCGAGACAAGAAGAACATTCGGAGGAAGCAGACATACCTCGGCCGTACACTGCCGCCAGTCCTTCTTCTCGAAATAGCAATCTGTCAACTTGGCATTCTCGTCTACAGAGACAGCCAAGGTGGAGGTCAAAGTTAGCGCCGTGATCCAACTGTCCGTTCGCGATCTTTTCCGCTGCGATCCGGAGAGAGAGGAGTCGTTGCGTACCTGCGCAACCCGTGCTGAAGATGCGCTTGTCCCTGCATGGTTGTTAGCCTTTGCTTCTTGTTTACTTGTCTCTCTCTGCTCGTTTTCCTCTTCTACTTCTGCCTTTCTACATCGTGAGCAACATCAATTTGCCGTACGAGACAAGACAAACTCGACGAGTTGAGAAGAGCAGAAGAAAGGTCCATTTTACGTACCAGTCATCAGGCTCGTCGTCTTCCGTCGACGACTTCTTCGCCGTGTCGCTCTCCTGCTTGGACATCTTTTTTATCCGTCTTCCTCCTCAGAGTTAATTGTAGGTCGTTGAGCAGACGTTGTTGCCGTCTTGTGTCGGCGATTGAATTGTTTTGCAAGGTGCGAAGTGAGTTCTCATTCGAAGTAGCACCGCCGGAACTTTGTTGGGGGTCCCAAGACAGTGCCAAACCAAACCCCGAAGCTACAACGACGCTCGCTACTGAAACTCACTCACTCACCACCTCGAGACTCATCTCATCCCTCATCGCCCTCACTCACAGACTCTCACCATGGCCTCACGTAAACTCAATGTGCTGGTCTACACCGGTACCGAGTCCCCCCCCTCAGCTATTATACCCCACATTGACTCACATACAACCCCTAGGCACCGGCACGACCGTCGAATCGGTCCGCCACTGCATCTACTCCCTCCGCCGCCTCCTCTCCCCAACCTACGCCGTCATCCCCGTCGCCGAGGCCGCCCTCCTTAAAGAACCCTGGCAGCCCACCTGCGCCCTCCTCGTCATCCCGGGCGGCGGCGACCTGGGCTACTGCCGCGTCCTCAACGGCCCCGGCAACCGGCGCATCGCCGACTATGTCCGCCGCGGCGGGGCATACCTCGGCTTCTGTGCCGGCGGGTACTACGGCAGCCGCCGGTGCGAGTTCGAGGTCGGCGATCGGACGCTCGAGGTTATTGGGTCGCGCGAGCTCGGGTTCTTCCCGGGGACGTGTAGGGGTGGTGCGTTGAAGGGGTTCGAGTATCATTCTGAGAGGGGCGCGAGGGTGGTAAGGTTGAGTGTGAAGGAGGGGTTTGGGGAGGGGGATGAAGTGTTGAGTTACTACAATGGCGGAGGCGTCTTTGTTGATGCTGAGAAGTTTGAGAATGTGGAGGTTCTTGCGCAGTATACTGATGAGATTGCCGTTGATGGGGGAGCTGGGAAAGCGGCTGTGATTCACTGCACAGTCGGCTCTGGCAATGTCATCCTGACCGGCCCTCATCCAGAGTATGTTCACCCTATACTCCTTTCAAAACCCGCATGCTAACAAATTTACAGATTCGCAGCGGCAAACCTCAACCCGCAACCCCAAATCCCCTCCTACGAAGCCCTCGTCTCCTCCCTCGCAGCAGCCGACGCAGCCCGCGTAACCTTCCTCCGCGCATGCCTCTCCCGCCTCGGCCTAGACCTCAGTGCCGACCCGTCCGCGCCGCCATCACTCTCCCGCATGCACCTTACCTCGGCGAACCACGTCGAGGTAGGCGAGATGCTCGCGTCCTGGGAAGAGGCCATTACCCGTGAGACCGGCCAGGGACAGGATGCCGATGAAAAAGAGGAGTACATCCGCGGCGAGCACGACGTCTTCCGCATCGAGAAGCTGTCTTCGCGGTGGGATGTCGACGAGCTCAAGCAAGCTTTGCCGTCTCTTGGTTCTGGGGAGGGAGGAGAAGGCCGGATGCTGGATTATGATGCCTTGGTCAAGGTGATTGTCCCGCATGAGGAGGAGTGGCCGGACGCCAAGGAGACGCCGAGTTTCAACCATCGGCTCTTTTACGGCTCTCTCAAGGAGTATCGTGCGATTGAGCCTGCGGCGGAGGAGTGGGGTGATACGCTCATGTATGGCGAAGTCGTCACCAGCACGAACACTCTCATGGATAAGTATGGCCCCCTTCTCTTTGCCCCTTTATTCACCCACGAGGAAACAAGAAAGCCCTCTTAGCTAACGAAACCTATCTTTCAGGAACCCCAAACTTCTCGCTCACCTCCCAACCGGCTTTACTCTAACTGCAACAACGCAAGTCGCCGGCCGCGGCCGCGGCACAAACGTCTGGGTCTCGCCGGCGGGCTGCCTTATCTTTTCGACCGTCATCAACCACCCGGCACACCTAGCCGCCTCCCACCCAGTCGTCTTCATCCAGTACATTGCGGCCATCGCCATCGTCGAGGCCGTCAAATCGTACGACACAGCCTGCGGCGACGTTCCTGTGAAACTCAAGTGGCCCAACGACATTTGTAAGTATACTCTTAACCAGACGTCATGAAAGTGCTGCATAGAATTGTATCCTGACAACAACAAAGACTGCCGCGACCCAGCCTCAACCCCCCAAGACCCCTCCTACGTCAAAATCGGCGGCATCCTCTCCAACTGCGCCTACTCCCAAGGCGCCTACCAGATCGTCCTCGGCATCGGCATCAACACGACAAACTCGCGCCCGACGACCTCCCTCAACGCCATCGCACCGGCACCACTGAAGATGGCGGGTGGCTTCCGCCTCGAGTCGCTGCTGGCGCGGATCCTCACCCGCATCGAGGCGCTCTACGCGCAGTTCCGCCGCGAAGGATTCTCGCGCGACCTCGAGGAGCGGTATTACAAGCACTGGCTCCACTCGGGGCAGAACGTCACGCTCGAGGCTGAGGCGGGCGCGAAAGCGAAGGTTGTGGGGATTACAAGGGATTGGGGTATGTTGAAGGCTGTTGAGGTGGATGGGATGGGGAGGGAGACGGGGCGGATGTGGGCGCTGCAGAGTGATGAGAATAGTTTTGATTTCTGGAAGGGGCTTGTGAAGAGGAAGTTGTGATGTCTTTAGACTCACTGTAGCGGTCGTGTAGTTATGCTCGAGCTTTTGTAGATATGGAAGCTAGGCTTGACGGCTTCGTATAGAGAGTCCAAGGGATCTATGCGGACCGTATCTCGCTGAGTGAGACGAATACCTTGGGATACTTGGAAGCTCATCCTGCGTGACAACCTGTCATCGGGCAAATCAGGGAGGCACAGGAAGGGAGGGCCATATCCCGGGAGCAAAACGACTGTCAATCCTCAACAGCTACAGCCGCAAAAAGGGACTCCTGCTCAGAAGCTTAAGATGGTTATACCCCTAATCCTGAAGTTCAGAGCTACCGGCCGAGTTGCTGTAGCTGTTGCTTTCGAGCCTCCATGGAGTCATTCATTTTTCCTTTTTTCATACCTGCAGCACCACGCGTCACATTTCTCGCCCGATTCGAGTCGACAGTTCGTCTCAGGGGATCAACGGCGGGAGCATCCGGGTGCTTATGGTCAGCTTCATGCCGCATCTGGATAGCTGCACGGAATGCATTCCGGCTTACACCCCCAAAACTCACTCACCGAACATATCGAATCAAGATTCTCAAGCGACCCTGTCGTCATGTCTTGCAAGCCTTGTTTCAACCATCGAATTGTTATTGAGTTATCTGCTAGTAGTCGGCTTATACGGTGCTCAAGCCCCCGTTCGCCAGTCTCACCATCGGCCTTGAGAGCCCCGATCTCTCCGTCTTACATCCCCCACACGGAGACTGTGCCGCTCGTCACCTCGGAGACAATGCGGAAACAAACCTACGCGGAAAATCGTAAGGAAACATGCCATTCTAGAAGCTAAAACCCCTTGGCCCACACAATGATGACAGGCTGCCTGAACGTCAAACCTGTGAGGAATACACAAAGTATTAAATAACCCCAGTCTTGCAACCTCACTACAGATCATCAATCATGAGCGCAATTGAGATCCTCGGGCGACGCTTCCATCGCTCAATATCAACTAACAGCAGTATTTCATCATCAAATCTCACGCTCAAGCTCATCGCCACTACTCAAGCTCGCCATAGATTTGCTTACCCCGCCACGCCTACCCGCAAACTCACAACCGCGCGATTCTTTGCAACATCACACCAACCCTTCAAAATGGCAACTGAAGAACTACCAAAAGTGAAGCTCTACTGGTAACCCCCCCCCCCCCCCCCCCCCCCCCCCCCCCCCCCACCCCCCCCCCCCCCCCACCCCCCCCCCCCCCCACCCCACACCCCCCCACAACACCCCACCCCCCCCTCAAAAAGGCAACCGAAAACCCCCAAAAGGACCCCTCCGGCAACCCCCCCCCCCCCCCTCCCCTCATGACACGCCCAAATCCTTCCCTCCAACGAAGACTCACTAGTCCAAAGGCTCAACGACTCCCGCTCCCAAAACACCCTTTGGCTCCTCGAAGAGCTCAAAATCCCCTACACAGTCCAACTCTTCCGCCGCGTCCCGAACCGCCTCGCGCCCCCCGAGCTTGAAACCGTTCACCCGCTCGGCAAGGCCCCCGTGCTCGAAATCACGCCCGCATCAACCGACGAGGACCCCAGCCCCGCACCCATCCGGCTTGCCGAGAGCGGGTACATCACGCAGTACCTCGTCGATCACTTTGGCCACCGGAAGCCCGGTCTTGTGCCGCCGCGCTGGAAGCCCGGGCGGGAGGGAAAAGTCGGCGGCGAGACGGAGGCGTATGCGCGGTTTTGGTATTTATTGCATTATGTCGAGGGGAGTTTCTTTCCTGTGATTGTGCAGTTTCTTCTCATTAATGGTAAGCACCTCTCCCTCACCTTGGACACATATTCACTTCCTGCCAACCTCTATCATATGAGATCCTGACCTAGATTGACCTATAGTACTCAAATCATCCAACGTTCCCTTCCTAATCCGCCCCCTAACCTCCCTCGTCGCCTCCAAAATCTTTTCCCTCGTCATCTTCCCCAGTGCGCAAAAGCACCTCGCCATGCTCGAGAACTATCTCGAGACTGCGCCCGGGGTATCAGCCGGCGGCGGTGGGTTTCTTTGCGGACCGGAGCTCACAGCCGCGGATATTCTCATCAGCTTTGCGCTCATCACGGCGGACGCGGAGAATGCGTGGGACTCGATGGGTAGTTGGCCTGGTGGGTCGGTGAAGGCGGCGCATCCTGTGCTGTTTGAGTATGTTGAGCGGTTGAAGAGGGAGCCTGGGTATTTAAGGGTTGTGGAGAAGGTGAAGGAGATTGAGGGGTGAAGAGGTGGTGATGAGAGAGTTCCTTAATCTTGAGTTGCTTCTCCGCGAGGGATCACTCGACATTGCGATGCTTCAATTGACCGTGATGCTCTCCGGCAGTCGACGTAGGCGTCTTGTGACTGGTGAGGGTCGGACCGGCGCTGAACATTCATTATCATCATCGTCATCATCATAATACTCTGATTTCCCAGAAGGAATGAAAGTTTCATCTTCAGATA